TCCCCGGTACCAGCCCCCGGGTAGCCCTGCCGCCGTGCCGGTGCGGCAGCAGTAGGCTCGCCAGGCTCATTTCAGCCTGAGCATGCTGTAGGTGACCCTGCTTCAGCGGGGGGTTGGACTCGATGACCCACAGAGGTCCCTTCCAGCCCCGAGCATTGATTCTGTGAGCGCCTGGCTGGTGTGCGGTTGTTTCCCGGTGCTTGCAGCGAGAGGCCGGTGCTTTTGGCAGAGTGTGTTCCACGTCCGTGCAGCCGAGAGGGACGCAGCGCGCTTGGCCCGGTGGCTGGCTGGCTCTGCAAGCCCAGGAGTGTGTCTTGGCTCCCTCTTTTTCCACTTTTGAGGGTTAAAGAGATTAGCTTTGGCGTGGGATCTTTACTCTTCCTAGATGTCTGGGAAGAGCTGGAAATGCAAGGCAAAAGTTTGTATGGAAAGCCGAGCTGCACCGCTGCTTCTTTCTTCCAGTTGCTCATTGCCATTGCCTGGCTGGGGGGGCTGTTCTGTAGGGGAATGCAGACTGGGAGAGACCTCTGTTACCCGATCCAATATCTTGTAACATAGCGGGCTTTACATAATGATGTTCATGAATTTCTTTTTCTTGAAAAGCTGTTGTGGTTTTGCTTGCTCTGGAAAGGCTCCTTTGAAGCAGTAGTCCTCAGGTAGCTGGGAAACGTGTGAGGAACGCTCAGGCTTCGGTAACCCCGCTCCTGCACCATTACAGATTGTCGGCAGATCAGTAGGTGTCTGGGAGTTGGCCAGTGATGTGGGGCAGAGCGCAAGAACATTGACCTGCTTTTCTTGTTTGGAGCTTGTTTGTTTACTCACGTTATCCCTGAGAAAAGCAATCGAGATTCCTTTCCCAAATGGGATAGCAGTTGTGGATTTGTCACGCCTTTAACAGGTGTCATAGGGTAGATCAAGATTGTCAAAGCAAAGCCATTAATGTTTTTAAGTGTCTTTTAAGGCAAGGAGGAAGCTGAGCCCAATTAGGTTACTTTCAAGGGGATTGACTGTCCCCCCTGGAAGTGCAGGTGGATTTGGTGTTGGAGATTGAGACCTGGCTCCTTTCAGAAAGCTTGATGATAGTACCACTGAGGATTTAGGAACAAAGGAGGAGAAAAATATACTGTGCTTAACACCGGTATTTGCCTTTACTGCTCGGGTCAAAGTGTTTGCCTTGGATACAAAGTTCAGAATTTCTCTTGTAAGGGGAGAGTGGATGGGTCTTGTAATTCCGATTAGACAACAAAATTAACGTTTAGGTGTTAAAGCAAGCGTAACTGTCCTTCTGAAGTAACTATCTTTCTGAACCGGCATCAAAGACTGCTGAGAATTTGAAAAGCAATGTTAATGAAACAGTTTTTCTTCTCTTGTTCACTGTAGGGCACTCATATTTCCCCTTCTGATCCGGGAAGGAAAACCAACACCGTTCTTCACTTTTGTGCTAGCGCTTCTGTTCTGTATTTACAATGGTTACTTGCAAGGTCGAAGCTTAAGCAACTATGCAAAATACCCTTCGGGCTGGTTGAAAGATCCATGTTTCATAACAGGTGAGTTAAAGCATGTTATGAGAACATTAGGTGTAGTTTTTGTCTGTCTTCGCAGCTTTATATTTTTTATTAGAATTTTAGAATATCTTCAATCCCATTTTGATAACTTTTCTTGTAGCTAATTTTCTTGTTTGCTGTAGCTGCAAGCCTTTTAACCTTTCTTATTTTACAGCTGTGAACTGACACTTCTTCCTGCAGTGTCAGTGCCAGATGAGCTGACAGTCATTCTTTAACACCAAAGTAAATAGTGGTCTTTTATTTTTATATATGGGAACAAACTTGATGCCTTAAGTGGAACCAGCAGCATACAGGTTTAGAACAAACAAAGCAGATTTTCCACATAACATGTAGTTTAAACTGAAATCCTTGGTGTCATAGGTACTAACGGTTTGTATGCGGTTCAAGAGAAGTGAATAAATTTGTGGACTAAAAACTCAGTAAGGGTAGCTGCTAAATACTAGGATACCACTTCTAATGCCAAAAGTCCTGGGTGTTGGGATGTTTACATGCACCAACCCACTCACCCCCTCGTAATAGGAGTGGGCTTTGTCAAAGAACAAAACTGTCCCACAAGGAAGGGGGTGGAGGGGCTGATCATTCACCCCTGTCAGAAGTGAGGTTACAGTCATACTTGAAGCCATGCATATGATTAAAAGGCTAAGATGTTTAGTGACAAATTATTGTCTTTGCCCTATTTCTTGTTTCCTAGGCATCTACTTTTGCCTGCTGTCAAAAACATAGTGTAATTTTCGAAAGGAATCTTTACAGAAAGATCTTTTTGATCTGAAGATAAAGCAGAATATTTTGCCTTGTGTTGTGGTTTAGCCCCAGCTGGCAACAAAAGACTGCACAACTGATTGCTTGCTCAGTCCTTTCTTCCACCCCTGGTGGGATGGGGAGAAGAATTGGAAGAAAAAGGCAAAACTTGTAGGCTGGGATAAAGGCAGTTTAATAGAACAGCAAAGGAAGAGGAAAATAACAGCCATAACACTGATGAAAAAAATATACAAAGCAGGGAATACACAGTGCAATTTTCTCACCCGCTGGGATTCCCCTCCCCTGGCTGACTCCCCCACTTAAGTCCTGAGCATGATGTCACATGGTATCAAATAGCCTGTTTGTTTAGCCAGTTTGAGTCATCATCCTGGCTGTGTCCCCTCCCAGTTTCTTGTGAAAATTAATCCTGTCCCAGCCAAACCCAGGACATTATCCACCCCTTATTCTATACCATCTATGTCATGCCCAGGTCCCACACTTTGTAATTAATCACCACCACTTTTCTGGTCTGAGAGATATATACATATATGTATACACACACAGATATCATTCCCTTAGTCTATGGGCCATACCTCTGAGATGTCCATTGAGTTCATTTAATCCATGACTTTGGGCTCTGCCTTTAGTAAGTCCTTCAGGGCCGGAGAGATGATGTGTGGTGTTAGATGGTTGCACGCCGCATCTGGAGCTTGTGGTTGGTGTATCTGGCACAGCCCACACCTGCAGTCTGTGGGTTGAAGATCTCAGTCTTGAAGTTGCTGGGTGCCAGTTGCTGAAGCCAGGTCCAGTTTCATCACTTCTGCACTTTGCTCGTTTTCATCAAAGTCCATCTTTCATTAATTTTGATGATTCTTACCGTAATACCATTGATATGGCATATAGCAACTGTAGTAGCGATGAAATACGCTGGCAGGGTTATCTAACAATTAACATCACACAATTCAATTTATTGGCTGTTCTCACCCAAAAATCAAATCCCTTTGAGATACATGTCGGAGTTCCCCATCCTTCCACATCACCCACCAGGTGCACCCAGGTCTTTGAGCAAAAGCAATCCTGCAGATGGGTTTGCCTTTGCCTGAGGCAGGACTAACCCAGACTGTCTTCCCTAACATGTTCTTCATGTGCACTATGGGGACTTTAGCCCCTTCTACAGGGTGTGGAAGCTTTGACTGGGCAGAGCCAGCTCAATTGGTGGATCCTCTGCTGTTAACTAACCAGGTGGCCTTTGCTAAATGAGTATTGCAGTATGTGAAGGTCCCATCCCCCACTGCTCTCAGTGTAGTTTTAGCAGCCAATTGTACCATTTGATTTCTCGGAGGCTGGTGCATGGTAGGGGATGTGATACACACACTCAGTGCTGGGCTCTTTGGCCCAGGTGTCTATGAGGTTGTTTCAGAAATGAGTCCCATTGTCTGACTCAGTTCCTTCTGAGGTGCCATGTTGCTACAGGACTTGTTTTTTCAAGGGCTGGGATGGTGTTCTGGGTGGTGGCATGGGCAATGGGATAGGTCTCCAGCCATCCGGTGGTGCATTGTAGGCACATGGTGCTTGTCTTGGCGGGTTTGTGGCGGTGTGATAGAGTCAGTCTGCCAGTCCTCCCCGTATTTATATTTTAGCCATCGTCCTCTATACCACTGAGGCTTTACCTGCTTGGCTTGCTTGATTGCAGCTCATGTTTCACATTCATGGATAACCTGTGTGATAGTGTCCACCTCTCAGTCATGAGCCCGTCTTGCATCTCTTCTGTGATGGACTGAGGTGTCATGGGCCCACCGAGCTATAAACAGTTCACCCTCATGTCAGTCCACATCCACCTGAGCCCAGTCTACCTGCTGGTTGCTTTGATGTTTCTCAGTGGCCTGACTCTTGGGGATGTGGGCATCCACGTGACGCGCTTTTACAACCAGCTTCTCCAGTCAGGCAGCAACATCTTTCCACAATGGGGCAGCCCAGATAGGTTTGCCTCTGTGCTGCCAGTTGCTCTGCTTCCATTGCTGCAGCCACCCTCACAGGGCATTGGCCACCATCCCTGAGTCAGCGTAGAGACAGAGCACTGGCCACTCTTCTTGATCAGCAATGTCTGAAGCTAGCTCCAGTCTTTCTGCATTATATGAAAATTTCTTAGTGGTTCATATACTAATTTACAAACAGATACCAATACAGAATACACAGGTGACACTGTCCAAAATTACAGTGGCATTTCAGAGAAATCAAAGGGTGTCTAATTTTTTCTCCTGAGAAAGAAATTTATTATTCTAGAACTGATACTAACATTCAGTATAGATTTTTCCTCATGCCATTGCTCAAGTCAATGAATAGAAGTATTGTTTACATTTAGATAGAAGTAATCTGTGTCCTTGTTAGGAAATTTCCTTTCAAATTATTGTGTGGATAGAGATAATGACCTGCTTATTTAGTTGTATGAATAACACCCCTTGTTTTCCAAGGTAATCTGAATCTTCTCTGGCAATTAGCAAATTGGTACATAATTACCATTGCTAAGAGAAGCAAACTATTTTTGTTGCTGGATGCATTGGCGATTCAATATTCTCTGTTTGGATAGAGATCTGTTGTGAAGGAAAAAGTTACAATGATCTGTTTTCCTAAAAGTAGAATTCAACACCATTTGAATTATTCACATTGAGTTTTTGAATATTGTCATTATATGAATTGGTCTGTAAATTCCTCATTACGTTGATCTAATCTATCTTGTGAAGATATAGTTACATTGAATATACAGTTGAAAGGATTATGGTACAATTTAACCGCACAAGAGACTTTACATATGGCATCTACATACCTTCATTGCTAATGGAAACTTACTGCACTGTGCTATATGAACAAAAGGTTAAGAAGCATGCTTGTTCACAGGACTAAATTCTGCTACTAGTTTTGTAACGCAAGCAGATTGTAACAAGCTAATCAAACAACATTTTTTATTTATCTAGGTAAATATCGAGAGAGTTTTCATGCAGAAACCTCAGTTTCTCTGCAGAGAAGTTGATTCCTCCTAATCCATATGGAAGCAGGCAGCTAGGTTCTTTAGGTAAACGCAGCCCACAACGGATTGCGAGAAGCAAACTGCCTATCTAACAACTTGTTTGAGAGGCAAGGTCCACTTACATCTGTAGCTTCACTTTGGAATGTAG